CCTTTCAACCTATTTTAGCTTCCTTTAGCTCTTTTCAACTTCTTTCTGCTACTTTCAGCTCCTTTCAGCTTCCTTCAACTTCTTTCTGCTAATTTCAACTTCTTTTAGCACTTTTCAACTTCATTCTGTTACTTTCAGCYTCCTTCAGCTCCTTTCAACTTATTTTAGCTTCCCTCAGCTTCTTTCAACTTATTTCTGCTTTCAGCTTAATTCAACTCATTTTAAATTATTTCGGCTGCTTCTTCGTGGCTAGGCGTGGACGGTATGACGATAACGTGGTAAAGCTCGATATTAAAATAAAGTATTTTAAAAATGATGACGGTACATGAATCACACGAGGCGACAACATGGTGGTCTTCAAAGGGTCGACTCTAACTTCGACTAAACAGGAAACATCACGTCCCTGAGCCCCGCTAACACTAACTGAGCTCTACCTGGCGTTTCATGCATAGAAACAGCATCTCAACATGTCCTCCTATAAACACTGAAAAGTACTAAATGTAAATAAATAGTACAGAAATACTACTAAAAGTTAAAGTTTTACTTACAGTGGARGAGTGGTTAGTAACTGCTGTCTTGAATTTTGAACTTTCCCACTTTCCAACGGGGAATTTCCACTTGAGGGGCGTTCCGGTTTAAATTTAAGATTTATAAGTGGGAAATTCCCACTTCCCAGTACAGAGGGGACGCAGTAAAAGTACCCGACTAAAATGCAGTGAAATGGAGATTTTACACTGCAAATTTCTCCGGCTATATTTGAACCCTGTGCAGCTCCACCTGGTGGTGGGAGGCCGGCATTTTGCAGGTGAAATAATCAAGATGCATTGTGGGAGATGTAGTTTATGCTTAAAACAGCTTTTTTTTTGTCTGCATCAACAAATTCAAACATCTGATTCTATAAGGTCGAGCAAATGTTCACAATCAGCTGTTTCTCCATTATTATTGATTACTCAACACTCACCTGCTGCCTACTCACCGCTCCTTTAGATCGAACACAAAACCAACATTTTTTTTATTTATTAGGTCAGCTTTGAGGATTCCCGGCTAATTTTTTCATCTTGTAACAGAAATATTGTATTTATTAGTGTTTTTTTTATGGTTTTGTCTGTTTCTTAGTGTATAGAGGCAGAAATAAATGAAAAAAAAGTGATTTTTAAACTTTGGACAGAGGACACAATTAAGACCTAAGGACACCAAATATCTGTTGTAGCTTTTGTGGGTCAGACAAGTTTCCTGTTTCCCACAATAAACACAGGCAGCGGTCTGGGAAACAGTTCGCCACGTCTGGTCGAGAACGAGACTCAATTAAAGTCATTTTCATTTTATTACTACGGTTATTACTGTCATTATAATCTGTCCCAAGGCTGAACTGCTCCTACTGTTTTATCTACAGGCTGATCTCACTGACCTAAAGTGAGAATTAAAGTTAAACTGAGCAACACCTACTGGAGACGATGTAAATAACAGAGAAAAAAAAGTTAATTTAACCATCTGCAGGTTGAAGAAATCCAAGTTCGAAGCTCAGCTTCCATCAGACCACTTCCTGTGTGTATTTGTGGTCCGATCAGAGTAAACAGACACACAGAAGGAGGGGCCGACGTGCAGGAATGCAGACGAGGCTTCAYGTTGAGGCAGATGCTTCAGGAAGACAAATGTCTGAGGGGGTCAAAGGTCAGGAGAAAGTCCGAGGGCGCAGCAGAGAGAGAGAGAGGGCACGGTCTGAAAAGGTTTGTTTTTGTCGTTTTATCTTCGTAGAAACCTCAAAACCTGCAGACGTTCCTAAAGAGCTTTCATTTGTACGCAGGTCGGTATGGAATAAATCTTGTGCCAACAAGAATTGAATCTGAATGTGCATAACTTGTAATTGAACGCATTGGCTTGAAAATGAATTTCACTAAACTGAAACTGAATTTAAATTTTGAATTTGAATTAATTTGCTTTGAAACTGTATTTTGGTTTATTAAAAAATTCAGTTTGACTACTTTCAATTTCAGTTCCATAATTCAGATTTTTGTGTCACATCCTGGTCCTTGAGAAAGCCAGGCAGAGTAATCAAACACAGATCCACAGATTTGTTTCATTTTGGTGAAGTTTCCCTTCTGTATGTAACAGAGTTGATGCGATCCACTGTAAAAGTGACAAAAACAGACAAAGTTATTTTATTGCAGTGATTAATTTTACCTATATGTAGAAATTGTTACATTTACATCACATCATATTGATCAGATGCTGCTGCTGACTGATCCATGAAGGGATGTCAATGTAACATTTTCTACTAGCGGTGCAACGATACAGAAAATTCATGATTCGGTTTGGTTCGATACTTAAAGGGCTCGACACACGGGGAGCGACAAACTACAACGATTAACGGCTGTCATCGCAGCCAGGGTGAAACCCGACACACGGGACGCGATAGCGATCGCAGTGTTGCGAATCGCGCTCTCAGATCGCTTGTCTTCACAAAATTTGATTGGCTATTAACTTTGAAGGCGGGTGTGCATTA